GTAAATAATATTAATTCAGCGCTAAAAGTAACTTGTCATAAACACTCCTGTGACACCCTCTCACCCACAATGCCCAGCCCCAAAGAACTTGTGACTGCTGTATAAGAAGCTAATGCTATTTTAATCCTACAGCTCTGTACTTGCTGGACCTTCTCAGGCTTTAATGTTGGTGGACTGAACAAAACAGCCATTGGAATCAGATCCTTGAATATCATGACTACAGAGTTGCTTATACTTATTTCAATTCACAAAGCCTCTAGTGTACAAGAGAATAAGATACATGGGTTATATTTTCATTTAAAATTGGTGTGACATTTAAATTTCACATGGAAGGGGCTTGCCTTGTCATTTTGTAAAGCTCCATGGACAGTGACAGTACTATCTAAATAATAACTGTTGTTGTTTGACATTCCAGTTGCCCACCTATCAAGTGTCATATTTCTTTGGGTGGCAAAGCAGAGTTATTTATATGGCTTCTTATTTCTACATGTGCTTTGCCAGACTGGGCTTTTAAGCATCTAAATTCATTTCCTTAGAATATTTAACCTAGGACACATTCTGCATATGCACTCCTCTAAATGGCAGCAATTATACAGTTTTGCAGAAGGCAGCATGCAAAGTACAGACCCAGACATAATTCATCCCTCTAATCCTCAAAAAGGCCCAAGCGAAACTCCCTTGTAACAGACCAAACCGGTGTTCTGCCAATATCCCCCGAGACTAATGGGCTGTTTGTACTCTTCTCCTGAGCCTGTAATATGTAGAGATATATACACAATCATCAATTAGAGAGAAAATGCTGCACGGAACACTGCAGTGCCTGAAATTAATTGCACCACTAATGACAGCTTCTTACCATCCAAGCAAACACTGGGGGCCTCCATTACACCCAGCCACAAGTCAGTCAGAGGCAACCCCTCCCCAACACCTTCCCAGCCTGGTAGAAATTAAGCGATAGGCTAAATCACAGCTTCAGAACCAAGGTCCTGCTGCTGGAAAGAACTGGCAAGTTCAGGCATACAAGTCCTTTCTTCCCCTTTAGATCTCAAGATAACATTGAATGTAGAAATACCCACAGCACAAGCTGGCCGGTCAATTCTATAAATCCTTTAGGCAGCACATGCGGAGAGCTTTGCTAGATGGCAGTCCATGAATAAGCCAAAAAGCAGACATGGGATCTGCGTCAATTCACCTGCTGATCGCAGTTTTCATGTGGCAGGCAAAAGAGATAAGGATTCAGCTGGGGCCCCTTTCTTAAAGTCACAACACATTTTGTGACTCCCTATGAGGAAAGCAAGGCAGCGACATGTTTTTTGCAGTAACTGTCTGAACACGGGATACTTTTCTACTGAATTGACAAGCAGCATGGGTAGGAATTGTTTTGTTTTATTTGTATTTCTTTTTGGCATGTGAATTCTGGTAATACAACTCCAAAAGAATTCAAGATTCTGACAACACAAGTTCTGTTCCAGTAAATCGTTCTAGTCACAGAGAATCCTAAAACCCAAGGAAGAAATTTGTCACAGGGGAATTTTGTAAGATTTGCGGCTGAATATTCTTCAATCCTGCATGTGTACCAGTTTGCAAGTCAGTACAGTATCTGTGTCCCATAAAACAATTGAAAGTGAACCATCAGGGCCGCCTGAAGACTCAACAACTAAGTGGTAGTATTTCTGTTCTATCCCACAGCTGAGAACTGGTGTGGCCTGGTGGAAACAACTGGCCTTGGGATCTGAGTTCAGGTTCCATTCCTCCCCTAGGTCACTTGTAAGGCCTTAGTCAAGCCTCATTCTCTCCACCTTGGTTTCCCATCTGTACAATGGGAACACGAGTGCCTGCACATCATAGCTTGTAGGCATTATATACAAACATTGTAAAGCACTTGGTTATCCTAAATATGCTGTCTTCAAAGAAAGCTCCACTGAACTAATTGGGGTTTACTTCCAAGTAAACCTGCGAAGATTGTGTTATAAAGCTGCAGTTTCTAAATAAACTGTGATCAACAGGACTAACTACTGACCAAAACTGCTTCCGGTTGACCTGTAAAAGTACCTTAACAACTATAAAGAGGAAGAAGAGAAGAGATTGGATTTATAACCCGCCCTTCACTACCCAAGGGAGTCTCAGAGCGGTTTACAAACTCCTTTCCCTTCCCCTCCCCACAACAGACACCCTGTGAGGCAGGTGGGGCTGAGAGAGCTCTTGACAGAAACTGCTCTTTTTCAAGAACAGCTGTGCCAGAACTATGGCTTGCCCAATATCATCCAGCAGGTGCAAGTGGAGGAGTGGGGAATCAAACCCGATTCTCCCAGATTAGAGTCCGTGCACTTAACCGCTACACCAAACACTACATAGTTTCAGTTCCTCCTCATTCCATTTCGCCTACCATCCCCAACCTATGCTCCCACACCTTGGCTTATAGTACCCTCACTCTTGTCAAAATATTCAAAGCACTGCAAATATATTTGCTTGCAAACAATGTTCAGAATTTATTGCTGCAAATTTTAATTTTCATCTGAGTACACCAACCACGCACATAATTTCAAGCCAAGCCCATGGTTTAATGCCAACATAAATAATATCCTTTCAGCTTCAGAGAGATGAAGGGCTCCTTTATCTTTTTCTGGGTTAAGCGGTTATGCACAGACTTGCTGTGGGATGTCAGCCCACTACTTTGCTCCAAGGAAGAGGAAAGAAAATATACCTTGTGGAGCTAGGTAGAGAGTCAGCACGGGCTATTGTGAAGCACTAGTCTAGATGTGGAAAGAAAAGTGAAAAAGGGATCACTGGAACTAATACGAACTAATCTGCCCATCCCCTGAATGGCTGAAAGTGGTTTTTGTGGCACTGTTTTGAGAAAAGACTTGTTTTTATCCTGCTTCCCATAATCAGGAGTCATAACATAGTACGGGAGAGGGAGAAAATATTCCCTCTGTCCATTTTCTCTATCATGTCTGCAATGATTCCTTGTTTTTTGTGTGTGTGTGTCTCTTTAAAAGTTTGGTTGCATGGTGGTAAGTAGACTAGAGTGGTTAAGAGAAGTGAGCTTGATATGATTGGTGGTTGACAGAGAGGGGGAGGGGTTTTGGACGTGGCTCTGAGTGGATGAATATGTATGTCTGTCAAGAGTAACAGTTACAGGTTTGACAGTGGATAAAGACAGTTGTTAAGAGTTCGTTCGGAGGTCTGTAAGGAAAGCAGTCTTGTGTGTGATATAAGAGAGTTCAGTTCTGTGTATGAGAAGAAAAGAGACAAGCAGTTCAGTGTTGAAACAGTTATAAGCTGGAGCTGAGTGTCTAGGAAACAGTAAAGTAAAGTTAAAGAGTTACAAAGTTACCTGAAAGATCCCTGTCAGTAAGGGAGCAGATCTTGTGTGAGACACCAAGCAATTGTTCAAAATATTCACATTACTGGTTACACGGTTCTACCCTTTTATTTATGAATTATTTCAATAAATCTTCTTTTATTTAAGTATATCAGCTCTGAAAGAAATACTTCCCAGGACCACATAGTACCTCGTGAGCCTTCAACTCGACCTACCTACCCAGTAAAGAGCCAAAGTGAAGGAAAAAGGTTTGGAAAGCCTTAAAATTTCCTAGTGGCAGCCAGATATACCCAGTAGAACAAAACATAAAGTACACTTTTAAAGGAAAACCAGTCCTCCCCAGATAAGGGGTAGTCACAATGTCACACCAGGTAAACATTAGGTAAACAATAACTAAACATCTCTCTCAGTCTCAGACAGTTCAAACCTCATCAGCATATATTTAAAATTATTTTTTTGTTCCAATATGCATCACTTTAAATTTATCGATGTTGAATTTCATTTGCTGCATTGTTGCCCACTCACCCAATTTAGAAAGATCCTCCTGTAGCTTTTCATAATCCACGTTGGTTTTCACCATTGTGAACAATGTGGTATCATCTGCAAATTTGGTTACTACACTGCTCAGCCCCAATTCTACATCATTTATGAACAAATTAAATAGCACCAGTCCCAATACCAATCCTTGTTGGACCCCAGTGCTTACTTCTCTCCATTGTAAGAACTGCCCATTCATTCCTACTCTCTTCTTCCACTTAACCAACTTTTAACCCTTAAGAGGACACATGGTTGCTAAACTTACTCATGAGTCTTTGGGGAAGTACTTTGTCAAAAATCTTTTGGAGGTTCAAATATACGATATCTACTAAGGATCTACACAAAGAACTAAGGATCGCCCTAACCACATGTTTCTAACCTGCTCAAAGAACCCCAAGTGATCAGTGAGGCAGGATGACCCTTTGCAGAAGCCATGTGGATTTTCCCTCAGCAGACTTTGTTCTTTGATATGCTTAATAATTCTCTCTTTAATAACAGTTTCTACTAATTTATTAGGGACAGATGTTAGGCTAACTGGCTTGTAATTTCCTGGACCCCTTTTAAAAAACCAGGGTGACATTTGCTATTTTCCAGCCACACAGCACAGAGGCTGGTTTTAGCAATAAGTTACAAAAACCTGTTAGTAGATCAACAGTTTTGCAGTTGAGATCTTTAAGAACCCTTGGGTGTATGGCCATCTAGGCCTGCAGATGGCAGCTTTCAGTTTGCCTACTAATCTTAGAATTTCCATCTCTCATCATCTCCTAATCTGTGCCCCATTCACGGTTAATCCAGAACCTCTTGACATCTTCTTTCATGGACATCATCTTGCACAGGAGTGATGAGAAGACAGTGTGTGTTCCTAGCAGTTGCTCCCCAACTCCAGAATTCCCTGCTTGTGGAAGATCATTTCATAAACCTAAGTATATTCCAAAACAAATGTGAACCATTAATTTGGACTAGTATTTAGTGGCTGATGAAAAGCACGGATTTTTTAAAAATCATATATCTATATTTGTAACACCCGTTTGAATTTGAAACATTAAAAATGCAGAAGCCCATCCTGAGTCTATAGCATAGGAAATATTTATATAAAATAAATCATCTGTTCAAGACGGTAAGCAAGGAGGATGCTTACTCAACAAAGGCTGCAGGGCATCAAGGGCCAGCCAATCCAACAGTTCTATTGTTCTGTGCAGATGGCACCCCTGAGATCAAATGTTCATCACTGCAACATGAGAAAAGATGGTGTTGGGCAGAGAAAATATGTTACAAAGGAGAACCCTGTGGAGGGACCACATTAAAAATGGTGGGGAAAGCTGCACATCTCACCTAGGAACAATTTTAAATATTTCCATTCAAAATAATGTGTTTCTTTTGTTTTATTTTTCCTGCCATGTTCCTCCTTGGCTTCATGTCACAGGGACCTGCCTGCATTGTAAGAATTGTTGTGGAAGTTACATTCCCTTCTTTTCAAAACTGGGACATAATTTACAAATGGAAGTTGTAAAGCTGAGCTAAGAGAGGCTGAGGGCACTTTCCCAGAGTCGATCTCAGGCTCAGAGAGCTGTTTGCTTTTTATTCCTTGATACAGCTAACAAATCCCCTTTCTCCCATGGGCAGAAAGTGGAATTTGCTTCAGGCCCAGGATGCTAACTTGCTCTTAGTTCACAGCACTTCTCCTTTTACCTCCCACTGCAGCAAGTGATGCTGTTTCGGCCCAGAGGAAGTTCTCTGGCTGGTCACATGGGAAGGCTGTTCTTGACCTCCTACGATTTCCACACTGTTGCAGAGAAAATAGACACAGGCCACCAAATGAACTGCACTCCCACCCCTGCCTTCCCCATGTATATGTCAAGCTCTAGGGCAAATTGCAATTTGAAAACAACTGGACAAAGGGCCCAGCTAGTGGTTTTCATACAGCTGTGAACACTATGGATCCAAATCCCACAGAAACAACAATACTGCAACTTTTTCCTCAACTACATCAGATGCTGTCTGTACACAGAAGTGATGTTACCTTCAAAGAGTTTATAAGCTACATCATGTAAGAATACACAGCAATGCCCTTGCTGAACCAGAACAAAGGTCCAGACAGTCCAGTGTTTCACACAGTGGCCAACCAGATGCCATCAGAAGGACTACAAGCAGGACATGGAGGCCAAAGTTTGCCCCCCCCACATTGTTCCCACCCCTGTGGTTTTCTCAATTGCACTGCCTCTGAAGATGGAGATTCCATTTAGTTTTCAGGGCTTACAGTAACTGGTGGGGATATCCTCCATGAATTTGTCGGATACTCTTTAAAAAGCCTTCTAAACTAACTGCCATCAATACATCCCTTGGCAGTGAGTTTCATAAGTTAATTACATGAAGTGTGGAGAAGGCATGAACAAGGAAAGAGTAAGAGGAAAATTAGGAAATGAAAACTGAAGAGTGGGAGTACGGCAGCAGAAAAGTAACAGTGGGTAGGGAGTTAAAGTGAGGTCAGAATGATACAGGAAGTCCATCATCAAAGCAGGCACTGAGCAGGGTTTCTGTCAGGATCCTGAGGTCTGTATATCTCTTCTGTCCAAAATCACTCTTACAACAATGTTGCTACTGCTCATATTGGGACCTATCTGGAATTCTTAGAAACGTAGTGATGCATTAGATCTGGACCTAATGTGATCTTGTATGTGGTCTTCACACAAGCACATGTATCTAAAGGCTTAGATTTGTGTGACTCATGACAGAAAACGAGAAACAAAAGCAAGCCAAGAACAGGGAGACGAGAGAGAGTGTGGGAGAGCACATGAAATACATGGATCTACAAAGACAGACAGAGAGAAAAACACACAATTAGGGAGGGAGATGAAGAAGTAACAAGGCCAACAAGGGAGAAGGAAAGCGTTTTTGGGGTGGACTGAAATAAGCCCTTTTCAGTCATTATGATCATGCATACTGGAAGCCTAAAAAATCAGGGTTCTGGTAAACGTGTACTGAGGTAAAAAATTGTGTTACCCCTTTCAGACAAAATTGGTGATCATGCCTATCAGGAAGGTTGTTGTAGCATGCTCTCCTTGTGTTTGGTAAAATATAACAACTGAAAATAGCTAAGAGAGTATTCTGTATCTTACGGCTCTCAGACAGAGATTCTGGTGTGTAGCCACAGCTATAAGCTTAGGACTGGAGGCTTGGACTGTTACAGAATTAAGATACTCAATACTTTAGTTGTTTTTTCTTGGCAAGAATTTATGTCATAAGTAAGTGGACAAGGGGGACCCAATAGATGTTGTTTACTTTGACTTCCAGAAAGCTTTTGATAAAGTACCTCATCAAAGGCTCCTAAATAAGCTCAATAGTTGGGGGATAAAAGAACGAGTCCTCTTGTGGATAAAAAACTGGCTAATAAATAGGAAACAAAGAAAGTCCAAAATTCCTAACTATAAATACATGCTGATGGGGTCCAAACTGGTGGAGACTGACCAAGAGAGAGATCTTGGAGTCATAGTAGATAACTCACTGAAAATGTTGAGACAGTGTTTGCCTGCAATAAAAAAGGCCAACGCTATGCTGGGGATTATTAGGAAGGGAACTAAAAACAAATCAGCCAGTATCATAATGCTCCTGTATAAATCGATGGTGCAACCTCATTTGGAATGCAGTGTGCAATTCTGGTCACCCCACCTCAGAAAGGATATTATAGCATTGGAAAAAGTGCAGGGTTGGAACACTTTCCCTATGAAGAAAGGTTAAAGCACTTGGGGCTCTTTAGCTTGGAGAAATGACGGTTGAGGGGTGACATGATCGAGGCTTATAAGATTATGCATGGGACAGAGCAGGCAGAGAAAGAAGTACTTTTCTCCCTTTCTCACAATACAGGAACTCGTGGGCACTCAATGAAATTGCTAAGCAGTTGAGTTAGAACAGATAAAAGGAAGTACTTCTTCACCTAAAGAGTGATTAATACATGGAATTCACTGCCACAGGAGGTGGTGGCGGCTACAAGCATGGACAGCTTCAAGAGGGAACTGGATAAGCAAATGGAGCAGAGGTCCATCAGTGGCTATTAGGCACAAGGTATAGACAGGAACTCTCGGTCTGGGGCAAGTGATGCACTGTATTCTTGGTGCTTGGGGGGGGGGGGCAACAGTGGGAGGGCTTCTAGTGTCCTGGCCCCACTGGTGGACCTCCTGATGGCACCTGATATTTTTGGCCACTGTGTGACAGAGTGCTGGACTGGATGGGCCACTGGCTTCTCTTATGTTCTTATGTAAACCTGAAGACTGAAGTGTTACTCTAGAACACACTATAGTACATATGGGTCTTAGTGTGGATTTACATCCTATCTACTGAGCTGGAAAGCAAACAACGGCATTGTGCATGAGAACTAGCTCAGACTCTGCCAAATCCAGGTCCATGAACTCATACTTCTGCTGTCCATATTTGCCAAAAGTACCATTACTGCAGGTTGGATGTTTGTGGTTTACAAGATGTGTTTTTAAAGTTTTTGAGACGTTCCTTTGTTATTTTTTTAATACCTTATTTAAACAGTTGATTTCAGAGGAGTGGCTCTGTTATCCTGTTGTTGCAAAACCAAAAGTCCACGGGTACCTTAAAGACAGATTTATTGTGACCAAAGCATTTATGGACTACCGCCCACTTCGTAAGATGCATGAAGTGTTATCTTAACTTGACAGGCATATATACACGTGGGTACAGAGGAAAAGAAGTTTGTAAACAGGGAAGGCAAAAGTCTTTTTCCATTTCATGATTTTTTGGCCTCACAGTTTAAATTTTTTCTTAATACCCATGTCTGCCAACTGCAGATAACAACACTTCGTTCATCTGACAATGGAGGCTCCAGTCCATTAAAGCTTAAACCACAATAAATTTTAGTATTTCAGATGCCACAGAACTTTTGGTTGTTTAAATTATGCAGACTGTGAGCAAATCTGGAACACAAATGTGTCTGGGAAAATGTCTACAACTCGTGTCAAATATCCACAACCCCCACCAAGCCCAAAACATGGGGAGGACAGTGGATTAAAAAAAGATATATCATTGGTTACAACTGCAACATTATGTAGCAAAAGGGTTTCTGAGGAAACACTGTCCACTTACAGCTTTTCAAAGGTAACACCAGCAAATGTCCAGAAACCCTATCACACATCACATGTTCTGACATTTCCTTCTCACTGTTTTGGAAAAGGACAAAACTGAAAACAATGAAGAATCAAGAGGCCATATGTGAAGAACAAAAGCTCCTTGGATATATGCCATTTCTCAGAATTCTCCAGAATTCTATCAGAATGCTAGGGCCAGAATCAAGAGAAAACACAGAAGGACCTGAAAGAGGCTGGTTTGTCAGATGTGGAATACAGCTTGCATGTCTCATACTGGTTGCTAATAGATTGTGCTTTATGAAATGGTTCAGTAAATGCTTGTATGTTAGCTTCTAAATCTGGTAACTAGCAGGAACTGGGTGCACCCACATTTTGGAGTGTAAGGGGGAAAGACTAGAGAAGTGAAGAAACAGCAGAGGAGGGTTTACAAGACCGTGACATCACCAACCCAACAGAGACAGAAAAGAACAGGGAAGAGAAGGGAAGAGTTTGACTTGCCAATGAGAAGAACGAGCTCTACTTTCCAAACAAGAAAAGAATTCTACTTTCCATCATCACGGGAGATCTCCTGCTCTAGTAACCTGCACATGCAATGAGGGCAGAGTTCTACCCTCCCTTATCATCAGAGCCTCCTCCTCAAGTAGCCTGCAACTTTTGGATTTGGCTTATCTAACATGGAATGAACGAGGTTACCTAAGGATGCATAGTTTCAATAGTTTTGTTTTTTTAAAAGATCCTTGCCTGGGACTGTCTGTCTGTTCATTGCTGAACTCGAGCCCACAGCCCAAACCTTTGCTTCAGGGTCTGATCAGCCCTGGAGTTGAGGGCAAAGGGCCACAGGTGCTATCTTGCATATGACAAGTGTACAGATAATACAGAATGGTACATTGGACCTACCTGAAGGTTCTTTCTCTTCAGTGGGGGAGACGTCATCCAGGAACTGGTTAGGTCACCCCTCTGCTCGCTCGATAGGCTATGCAAATTTCTTTTATTTCATGGCTCCTATTGGAGTGGCCGTGGCTGACCTCTCCAGTCATGTCCAAGCCCCTCCGTGGATCGCTCTTTGTGCCTGTTCATCGCCATCCACGTAGTGTGCTTTCCCCTTCCATTGCTAGCCACCCTG